GTTTAACTTTTGCCGGGACACGCTCTTCCTGCGTTCCACTCACTTCCCGAGCTACCAAGGCGTAGAGGGGGGATCCTGACTCTAATTCATTATCCAAGTCTTTGGTAGTTAATAAATTCAGGCCTGTGTTGGGTTTAATGGAATTGGGCTTTACTTCCTCTTTAGCGGCCTTGGGCAGGGTGGGTAGGAGCTTAATTTTCTTGCCCTCGTGCTCAAACACGCAGGTGTTTGATCGGCCATAGATGTGTACATCGTTATCGAATAGCCAGGGGCGACCAAGGATTATTTGTCCTATGTCCATAGTCAACACATCATACCAGATTTTCTCTTTATATTCCAACGAACTCAATAGGAACGAGACTCCTATCTTTCACCTCCAAGGTGGTCGAGTTGATCCAGGCGACTTTGTATGGGTTCGGGTGTGGTGTGGCTTTCAATTGAAGTTTAGAGATCATTGCAGAAGACACGACGCTAATACAACTTCCACTGTCGATTATGACTTTGCAATTTTTATCCCCGATCTTGGTGAAAGTGTAGAAGATTGAAGTTCTTCGCCAGTCATCGCTGGGCTTAGGCTGTGAGAAGGCACCTAACAACTCGTAGGTCTAAGTGATCCATCTTTTGGAGGCAGTGGATCACGACAGTATCTTCATCGTGGAAAAATTCCTCGTCGTCATCCATATGATGAACTAGTTTGGTGTCCGGTTCATCCTCTTCTTTCATGACTTCTTCATTATTGTGACCTTAAACGGGCTGGAACATTGGGAGGCAATGTGTCCGTACCCATGGCATCTAAAACACTTAGTGCCTGCAGAGGATTTGGGTGTTTCCCGTTCTGGGGCTTTACCTTTATAGTCCGGACGAGGTTGAGTTTGCCCAGGGGAAGGCTGACTACTCGGGAGTCCAGTGGGTTTGTTGTAAGGTTGGCTAGAGGAGGATTTGAACGGGCTAGGGTGAGGGTCTTGGTTTCTATTAGCGTGGCTACTAGATTCTTCTAAGTTTAGTACAAGGCTATAGGTAGTTCAAAAGTGTTCACTCCTATGGCAAAAAGTTCATTTTGAAGATCTTCTTTTAGTCAAGCTCTAAACATCGATAGAAGTTGGGCAGGAGTGGTGGTCTCTTCCCCGTTACAGCGGATCATGAAATCATCAAAGGCCGAGATGTATTCCTTTACGGGCTTGTTTCCTTGGGTCAATCTATTCCAACGATCCAAAAGTCTAGGGTAGTAGGAAGGAGGGAGGTATTTCCATTTCAACTCTTGCTTCATCGTTCCCCAGTCAGTCACAGGGTATTCTCCTCGCGTTTCCCTCATGTGTTCTACATTACTCCAATAATGATTACCTCTACCAGTCAACTTCATTTCTGCAAATTGAACATTTCTTTCCTCCGAAATATTGTACCACTTGAAATAGCTATCCATTCATTTGAGCCAATCAAGGAAAACTTGGGGATCTAACGTACCATCGAAAGACGGGGCATCTATCAGAATATTCTTAATCAGTTGGGTATCGTTATCTCTCCAAGGAGTGTCACGTCCTACCGGTTCTTGATTGGGTCGGTGGTGTTCCTAGGAGGTTCGTAATCAGTTTGGTTATCTTCGCCATAAGGAGAGTGGGGTCTAGAGGGGGTGTAGATTGCAGGGTTTCCTATTCTCTCAATGTTGTCAAGCCTCTCACCCGTTTGGCGTCTAAATTCAATTAAATCTGTTTGGGTGTTCTTAATCTGTTGCGTAACCGTTCCAAGTTGGTCCACAATTAAGTCTAAGGTTGCTTGAATGTGCTCCGAATCCATGGTTGGATGCTAGGGGACACTAACGAAGGTTCCTAGGTCAAGGCCAGCAACTAAACACAACGAAATGCTTACTAAAAGTGACTAACGGTAGCAGGGAATTTCAGGACAGCAAGCTAAACAGTGGATTAAGTCGTCTAGATGTTATAGGGGTACCACTAGGGTGAGGACAGCACCTAGACACAACTTTAAGTTCACTAAAAGATGCCTAAATGTTGCTGGAACAGTGAGGACAGCAGTTTAAATCAAGGATGTAGTTGTCCTACGCACTTAGAAACGTTATGGATTCAATGGCAGCACTAAGACACTAGCTAGAATGACTTAAACTCCACTAAATGCATGCAGGAAATGCAGAGACAACAATGAAAACAGTGAATAAAAATTATGTTTGCGATGATATGCATGCAAAATTTAAAGCTTATCGCAAGGTTAGACCCTAGGATGTTTTTCTAGTACATGACATGCATGCCTATCATGCTCTGATACCAAATATGATGTGAATCGTATAGGAGTTACATGCGAAATTAAAAGAACAATTGAATAAAACTTTGCCAAAGAAAATCTATTGCTTAGATATAAAAGAGAACTTAAAAATTAAAGAAGTCAACTTGCTTAGGCCAAAGAAGTGCTTCGATGCAAACCCGTACAAATCAATCAAAATTCTAAATATATAGCAACTATTACATGTTCATAACAAAATCCACCTTTTAACAAAGAGTGGTTCACCTCGAGTACCACCTACACTCATGCACTCTTTGGGTTTACCGGCGGAAGGCGAGTCCAATGAAGAAGGATATTACCACTAAGAAGATGACGCCGAAGGACTTTGTTGATGGAAAGGTAGCTACGGACGAAGGAGTGGTTCTCCCAACGAGAAGCCAAGGTGTCTTGGGTTTTTGGAGGTCGATCGTCTTCGCTAAGCAGTAAAGGATGCGCTTGATGTATCTCTCCACGGTCTCGTCGTATTCCCAGTCGGGATCGTAGAAGGGGGAAAGGAGGATGTCGAAGCCGTGATCAACTTCCAGATCGACCATATACCAATGGCAAGATAGGGAGGAGAGGTTGTCTTCTTCTCTTGGGTTCAAGTGTCATGAGAGAACTAGAGTTTCGCAAGAGAGAAGGGCCGCAAGAGGGGGATGGCTAGGGTTGGGGAGAGAGGGGGCGGGTGGCTTGAGAGAGGGATAAAAAGGATTGATGAATGGGGAAAGGAAAAATATCATAAACCTGAAATTAATTTCAGGTTTCAAAGAGGGTGGAGGGAATCAATTTGAAATTAATTTCAAATTTCAAATAGAGTTTAGGGGAATTAATGAGGATGGCCGGCGGTGGGGCTAAGGGAGTTGGCGGGTGGACGTGGAAGAGAACCAAGAGGTGGAGAAGAAGAAGATAAAATAAAAATAAAGCCACGAGTCGCGGACTCTTCCAACGACTGGTGGGTAATGCACTCGCTCACCTTGAGCTCAATCACCCTTCTCTAGCTCTCATGCAAGAAGAAGAAGAAGAAACCAAATTTCATTAATCATTCATTAAAAAAAAGATACAACATATGAGACCACAATATATAGGTCTCTACTTATGTAAAGAACAAGTACAAGATTGCCCTTTGGGCTACAATGACAAAACAACTCCCCAAAGGATAAAAACGGAAAACGAGAAATAACTAAATAACATATCATGAAAAACTGAATCAAAAGTAGAGGCGCTGAATCGTGGCCGTAGATCTGCGATTTCTTTGTCGATACACATGTAACTAGCGTCTGTCGATGTCCTCATCAGTTTCTCTTATATGATGTATGAATTTAGGTGGGAAGAATCTACCTTTCAGTGTATTAAAAATGATATCTCAATTGTAGCAGTTAAAAGCCTTCTCAAAATCTACTTTATAAATAAAATAATCTTTTTTATACTTATTGATGGAATGGATGATCTCCGGAGCTACAGCAATGTAATTAAAACTATGTTTTACTTTAATATGACTCCTTTATTGATCAAATCAGATGATGAAGATGTGGTTTAAGACTTTTGGTCAAAATTTACTGAATATTTTGAATTATTCATATAGGAAACTAATAAATCTGAAGTCTCTAGCGTTCGTCCATACTTTTTTTTTTTATGACCAAGGCCAATGATTGTTGATCTCAAACTAGCTAGAAACTTCTTGCTCAAAAGATACTTGTTTTGCTAAAAACTTTCAACTTTTTGTCATTTTATGGAATACATGAAAGTTACTGATTTGGCTTTTTAGGCATGCACAAACTTACCACTCAATGTATGTTACCTGGATTAGTGAATTCCAGTAATAGAACTCTCATAAAATCTGACATTAGAATCTTATAAATAATATGTTAAAATTATTAAATCATTTATGATCTTCAATCAACCTGGAATTCTTGCATCATGATAATTTTTTCTCTTTTTTTTTTTCCTACTAGGTCCAGGCAGTTTATCTCTTTTCTTTTCTACTTAGACGTAGATATAGCCAATTTAGGCATTTGATTACAGTGACATAAATGACTATTATTTTCATTGCACATTATTTTAGATTTTTTAACACTGTCGTTGTCAGGTCTCAAGTCTTGGATTAGAAAAGTGAAGGGTTGTGTTAAGTAGTCATTAACCAGCGTAAAACTTGTCGAATAATCATGACATGAATTTTTTTAAAATTGTGTATTATTTTATATATTTTACTCACTCTTATCTATTAAACCCACCCCTGTTGCGCTTTAAACCTGAAATAATTATTTGCTAGCGTTTAACAAGCTTTTAACTATGAAGCTCCTTTAATTTAGCAGGAAGTTTTCTATTTGAAGTGGTATTGTAATACGGAAATTCCTTTAGTTTAGGCTAACTTTGTTACAGGTCTTTAAAAGTTTGATTGGTAACAATTAGCAAATTCAAATGTAACTGTATTGCCTTAGCCTTGAATGAAAGGGCTGGCTTGCGTCATGATAAAGTCGCATGTTAAAACTAAGGCTATATGCATTTTAGTCATTAATGGTATAAGTGGTACTGAAAATCCATGTTATTTAGGATGCTAGGATTGGGGGCAGATATTTGATTTCATGCACTTTTCTGTTTACAGCATGAAGGTTTTTTCGCCATGTTTTTTAATCTCATCTTTATTAGTTAAAAAATATAATCCATGTTGGTACCACTTTGGCTTGGATGTCAAGTACTTGCAATTTTTATTCTTTTTTTTTTTGTTTTTCCAGGCACACTTTGTTGAGATGGATCCTTGGGTTATCTCTGAAGTCTTGAGACCAAATTTAGAATGGACCGGGTTCCTTGATTTTTCAGTGATTCATACGCTAAGAGTAGAAAATTTCTTAGAGCGTGCAGAAATGTCTTTAGGTAATTTCTTTTTTCTTTGTACTGACAAGTAGTCAATATATGTACTGTGTAGTATTTGTGTAGTCAGCTTTACATGCACATACTGACAGTTATGCCGCTTAATGCATCAATTTCTTATTACACTGGTTTTTATTATGAGTTTTTTGTGTAAAAATGTTGAATGATTTAATTTGAAGTAAGATGAAAAATGTTGTTTTGCTGTAGTTTTACGTTACCTGGTTTATTTTTTATTGTAAAACAATGGATATTTTTTTGGAAACTTCATCTTAATTTCTTCAGTTATTCTTTTGATTGTCGCAGGTAAAGTTGAACCATTTGACTATATTAGTGTTACGCCACCTTATACTGCAGTAAATTATTGTACCTTAATGGAACAGCTTGCAAAGTGTCCCTTAGTAGGGGAAGATTGCTTTATTGTAAGTTCTGTTGCTCTCAAGCTAAAGATCATCCAAGTATTTTCACAGTTTTCATGGGATGACCACTAATGTTCTTTCTCTCCATTTTCTAGCTGGTAGAATATCCGCTTAAAACTTCAATGGCGGAATCTTGTGGACATCTTGTAAAGGTGCTAATCTGCTGAATTCTTTTAATCTTCTACAATTGTTTAAGAAAAAATAGAAATGATATATTATCTATGTCAAACTGACAACTGCTTTCTATTTGTTGTTTAGTTCCTAGGAAATTTGTAAGTAAACTTGTTTTTATGCTCTTTGTTTCTGATGGGCATGTTTCATGAAATTATGGAAACAACTCTTAATAGTTGTTTTCACTTCTTTTGAAAACAAGGCGTATAAAACAAATAACATGATACATAATGAAACCTATTTTGTTTCAACTAAAACTAGAAAAAAAATGATAAACAAAACAACAAAACACTTCTAAACTTGACCTAAGACTTCGTTTGGGACAGATTTTTTGTTACTTTCTAAAACACCCGTCTATTCTAGTATAAAAATTTTTTGAATTAAAAAATTTTATACTAAAAAGTCGTTTCAGGATGTAGCACGAAAGCTATCCCAAACGAAACCTAAGTTACTAATGCATAAATCTAATTTATAATAGTAACCGAGCCATCTCGTATCTCCGCTGCCATTTGCCATCTCATACCTCTGCTGTCTTCGCTCGATCCTTCTCTTCCAGACAGAACTTGCCACATCTCACGCCTAATCATCGTTACTGCCATGCCCTATGCCATCCACCACGTTGCTTTGATGACTTAGAGATGTCTGGTCCTTTGACTTCGGCCTTCCCGCACCTCGCAGTCACTCACCAGATCGCCTCCACCCCAGATACACAGTCCCAACAGATAAGCTCTTCATAGAGTTTGTCTTCTTTCTTATGTTCGATATTTCATCTTATGCAGGGAGAAATTGGCCATTTATTTATAATTAATCTAAAAAATAATGCAATTAGGATCATTAAAATCGTTATATGCTATCAAGGTGAGGGTAATAGGACTAAGCTTTTGGTGCACAGTTTACTCATCACTATGTTAAGTGTGTAGAGATGAGGATGCTTAGGCGGATGAGTGGCTTTACCCTTAGAGATAGGATACAAAATGAGTATATACGTGAAAAGGTTGGAGTAGAGCCAGTGGAAGATAAGATTAGAGAGAGTCGTCTTAGATGGTTTGGTCACATAAAACGGCGGCCTTCAGATGACCCGGTTAGGAAAGTAGAGATATTATATTTGACTTATGTTAATAAATATAGAGGTAGACCTAAAAAGATTTGGTTAGAAAATATTAGAAATGATATTTATTTCTTAGATTTAAATGAGAATTTGAATTTTAACAGGACACAATAGAGAAAAAAGATTCATATAGCCGACCCCACGTAGTGGGACAAATACTTGATGTTGTTGTTGTATGCATTTCTCCAATTTGTTGAATTCTTCAAAATACTTTTTACTTGGCAACCATGTTTGTAAAGCTTTCTGTTTCATTAATGAGTATGACAGTATTGATCCATCATATCATCAATGTTTTGAATGCAGATAGCTGACAGACGATTTGGACGAACCAACTTATTAATATATGGACCGAGCTGGGCCCTTAAGAAGAGAAAATCTGACAGACTTCTGCTGGATTAGGATAAATTATTCTATGCGGATATCGGATGCCGCCCAGTACCGGTATTGAGCAAAAAAATGATGTGATGCTTTTTAGTTGGCCTCCAGACCGTCCAGTATCTGCACAGAATAATTTCTCCTTGATTATAAATCAATTTCCTTATAAAAGGTTTTTGCCTGCATTACAATTTTGCAGTGGTTATATCTGTTACTTGGATGAAGTGATATATTTCGAAAAAAATGCGGTGAGTTTCTGCACCTGGAGCCTTAAATTCTGTTGATTCTCTTAGACAAGCTCAATTGATAACGTTGCTTATTTTATGAACTAGCTTAGTTCAAATCTCTGATTTATTGCCTATATTTATCACCATCACTGAGAAGAGCTAAGGATTTTTTTCCTTAATATAAAATGAATATTTAAATCTTTTTTAGCTGAGAGTTTTTGTGTTTGAGGCAACTTTTGTTTGGTTGAGCTGCACAAGCTTCGTTTGAGACGACATTCATACTACTTCTTAAAGCATGACAAATTATTTTGTGCGGACATCGAACGACATTCAGAGCCCAATAAAAATGCGCCACGTCGCCCCCTACTCGGTACCATGACTCGGTATTACTCGGTACCGAGCTCGGTACAGGATGATGTGGCTGCACCTGATTCGTCTCTGGACGGTAAGCTGTGTCCGGTGTCCGCACAGAAGAATCTCTCCTTAAAGCATAAGCAATACATTCATATAGGGTTATTAAACTCTCTCTCTCTCTCTCTCTCTCTCTTATGTGAATATATAAAGATTTATGAACATAATAGTTTTATTTATTGAAAACCTCCTTTACCGTTTAACAATCAATATGATTTTGTGAAGCAAAATTATGATAACATTTGGAAATAGTCTTTGCAGATTTGAAGATTGATATGGTGGCAAAGCTAACAACCATTTATTATTTCATCTTCAAAGTCCTTTTCATATGTAGCTTTTGGTATATAGATATTCTCCCTCGCCATCTTCGGAGGCTGATGGCTGACATACTACCTGTAACAAGACCTCTCACCTTATGTTCATTTTTAATGCTCTTTGCTTTCTCTGCTGAAATATACAGTGCTGGCTTTAGCTGTTTCCTATATGGTGCCCTTTATTGGAACAATTATTACGTCCTCCGACCGGACGTAGAGGAACGTCCGGTTGGAGGCCAAATCACGTCAAAAAATAAGAAATACCGAGCACTATCAAACAATAACGAGGAATACCATCATGTGAAGACCCAATACCGAGTTATACCGAGCTATACCGAGTTGTACAAAAAAATACCGAGCACTAGAAAAAACTCGGTACAACTCGATATTGCTTGGTATAGCTCGGTATAACTCGGTATTGATATTCACAGAGCGGTATTCCTCGTTATTATCAAATAATACCTAGTAATACTGAGCAAATATCAAATTTTTTGGCGGGATTTTACCTCCGACCGGACGTTCCTCTACGTCCTTTCACTGGACGTAATAAAAGTTCCCTTTATTGTTATTGTTGAAAAGGAATTTTTTTATTTAAGAAGTTTAGGTATATCATACCCTTATCATCACTAAAATGGTTAACCGGTTTTGGTATGATTTGAGATGATTGTAATTTTTTTTTATAAAGATGATTAAAAATTGATGGATAAAAAATATTTTTTAAAAAGTTATATATATTAAAATAATAAAAAAATAATGATCAAATAGAAATTATAGTTTCAATTATAATCCAAAAAATGAAGACTTAAATTCATCTGAGATGACTTTCTTAATTCTTTTTAAAAATATTTCTTAATTAAAATGTTGTATTTGAAAATTATTTTAAAAAATATCAAGAAAATTATGAATTATCTCAAAAATTGTTTTCTTATTATTTTTAAAATAATTTTTTAAAATTTTAAGATTAAAAATTTATTTTAAGCAGTAAAAAAGTCGTACCTAATGATGACTTAGATTTAAAATAAAATGATATTTCTAATCTCCTCCAATTATCAAATGGGATAGATTATAAAAATATAATTCAACTCTCTTCTAAAAATTAAAAATATTTTATTTATCTCTGACTATTCCACAATTTCATATTCTCATTATTTATTATTTACTTCATAAAGTTTATATTATATTATTTATTTATTATTCTTTATTGGGAGTAAAAATCATTTGCAATTCTTCTGAACTCAACAACCAATAGAGATAATCATTCAACAGGTTAGAGGAGAATCAACCTAACATCAAAAGAATTAACAAAAAACTAAGCAAAAGATACTGATAATAAAAAGAATTGGGCAGCACAATCTTTACAGAACAACAGATGAATTGGGCATATGGTTATGGCAACCAAGTTGGCTGTAAACATCACAACAACATTATAAAATCAAATAAAAGCAGAATATTTAGGTAACATTCATGGAGACTATTTCCATTTACTTTCATTTATACTGTTCATGTAAGTTTACATCTTAAAAAACATAAAAAGTTGGCTTCTGAGAGGGTAAGTTCAAACATTGAAACCTGGAGGGTAGGAGTTCATATCATTGAAGCATCCCTTTGCCATGCAAGGATCAGGCTAGATACTTCAGCAGTTAAGCATATTGCTAAACCCTTAATTAATTGGAATTTTATGACCTAATTTCTCCATTTTTTTAACCTTCCTCCCTACAAACAACACATTCTTGCATTTCACACCGTTTTGTAGGTCAGGTTGATGATTAACAACACCAATGCAGCAGTCACCTTATTTTGTTGGTTGAGAGTTTTGGCTGCCAATCAAAAAGTCTTGAGTTCGAATACTGCGTATGTGATGTGTGCGTGAGTTTACCTTGATTGGCCTAAATGTCCCCCCTACAAACAACATATTCTTGCATTTGACATAGTTTTGTAGGTTAGGTTGATGACTTGACAACATCAATGCAGCTCATCTTGTTATGTTGGTTGAGAGTTTTGGCTACCAACCAAGAAGTCTTGGATTTGAGTCTTGTGTATGTGATGTGTGTGTGAGTATAACTTAATTGGCCTAAGTGTCACCCTACAAACAACATATTCTTGCATTTCACACGGTTTCGTAGGTTAGGTTGACGACTTAACAACACCAACGCAACTCATTTTGTTATGTTGGTTGAGAGTTTTGGATACCAACCAAGAAGTATTGGGTTCAAGTCTTGCTTATGTAATGTGTGTGTGAGTTTACCTTAATTGACCTAAATATCCCCCTACAAAAAATACATTCTTGCATTTCATATAGTTTAGTAGGTCAAGTTGATGACTTCACAACACCAACGCAGCTCATCTTATTTTGTTGGTTGGGAGTTGTGACTACCAACCAAAATGTCTTGAGTTCAAGACTTGCTTATGTGATGTGTGTGTGAGAGTTTTCCTTAATTGGCCTAAATGTTCTCCACAAACTAAATGTTCTCCAAAAAAAAAAAAAAAAAAACTTAACACCGTAATAAATTAGAGATAAGCCTAAGTTAATTAATTAACTAATTATCTTAATTACTAAAAGTGTGCATATGATGCATGAGCTCCTATGCTTCCTTTCCATATGCACCCTTGCAATCATCTCACTGAAATTTCCTACATCCAGAAATTACATGGAAGCAGGAAAAAAAAAAGAACCACTTCCCTCATTCTACTGCAGTTATGCATATTTCATGTTAAGTTTGTGAGTTCTAAAACAATTGCTTAATTTAAGCTAAACATGGAGATAAACACTCATAATAATGGAGAAAAAAGATTCATGTAGCCGACCCCAAGTAGTGGGATAAAAGCTTGATGTTGTTGTTGTAGGGAGATAAGTACCCATAACAATGTAGAATAAGAATGACTTATAATCCTTTTGCTGCAAGGAATAAGAATATAAAATATAAATGCAAAATAAGAGAATCATACACCAGATCTCTAGGAAGAGGCAAGATATCACAACAATACGAGATGAAACAAAAAGAATCAAGCACAATAAAATACAGAATGAACTTTACCAGCAGAAGTGTAATTCAATCATCATATAGAGTTTGAAGAATTCTTCCATAGCTCCACTACCATAATTCAGCATGTATTGATTCCATCCTTGCAATCCCTGGTTAGGTTGAATGTTTCAACTCGCATATTCTCTCTACCTATCCAGCTCATTTAGCAGAAATTTCAACAACCTTGCATTATATTTCTTTTAAAGAAGTCTCAAATTTCGTTTAGTAAACCCTTACATGGGACACAAGCTCTCACAATATAAAATTGAGTTATATATATATATTTGGATTAATAAAAATTTAGAGATATATTTTTTTAATAATTAATGATAAATAATAAAATATATGATCCACTTTATGATGTGAAAAATAATCTTCTCCAGTGATCAAATGGGATAGATTATAAAAAAATAATTCAACTCTCTTCTAACAATTAAAATATTTTATTTATCTTTGACTACACAATTTCATATTCTCATTATTTATTATTTAGTTCATAAAGTCTATATTATATTATTTATTTATTATTCTTTATTGGCAGTAGAAATCATTTGCAATTCTTCTGAACTACAACAACCAATAGAGATAATCATTCAACAGGTTAGAGGAGAATAAACCTAACATCAAAAGAATTAACAAAACTAATCAAAACATACTGATAATAAAAAGAATTGGGCACGATCTTTACAGACCCTTACAGCAAGCTTGATGACAATGTTCATAAATGTCATAGAACAACAGATGAATCGGGCCTAAGCTTATGGCAACCAAGTTGCCTATACAAATCACAACAATATTTTAAAATCAAATAAAAGAAGAATATTTAGGTAACATTCATGCAGACTATTTCCATTTACTTTCATTTCTTCTGTTCATGTAACTTTACATCTACAAAAACATAAAAAGTTGGCTTCTGAGAGGATAGAATCAAACATTAAAACCTGGAGAGTAGGAGTTCATATCATTGAATCATCCCTCTGCCATGCAAGGATCAGTCTACATACTTCAGCAGTTAAGCATCTTGCTAAACCCCTAGCAAATTGGAATTTTATGACCTTGTTTTGCCATTTTTTTACCTTCCTCCCTACAAACAATACATTCTTGCATTTCACGCAGTTTCGTAGGTTAGGTTGATGACTTAACAACACCAACACAGCTCACATTGTTTTGTTGGTTATAAGTTTTGGCTACCAACAAAAAAAAAAAACATCTTGGATTCGAGTTTTGCGTATCTGATGTGTGTGTGAGTTTACCTTGATTGGCCTAAATGTTCCCCCTACAAACAACATAAAATATTTTTGTAGGTTAGGTTGATGACTTGACAACACCAACACAGCTCACCTAGTTATATTGGTTGAGATTTGGCTACCAACCAAAAAGTCTTGGGTTCAAGTCTTGCATATGTGATGTGTATGTGAGTTTATCTTAATTGACCTAAATGTCACCCTACAAACAACATATTTTTGCATTTCACACAGTTTCATAAGTTAGGTTGATGACTTAACAACACCAACACAGCTCATCTTGTTATGTTGTTTGAGAGTTTTGGCTACAGCTAAGAAGTCTTGGGTTCAAGTCTTGCATATGTGATGTGTGTGTGTGAGTTTACCTTAATGGACCTAAACATCCCCCTACAAACAACACATTCTTGCATTTTATATAGTTCAATAGGTCAGGTTGATGACATAACATTCTGTTGGTTGGGAGTTTTGGCTACCAACCAAAAAGTCTTGGGTTTGAATCTTGTTATGTGATGTGTGTGAGTTTATCTTAATTGGTCTAAATGTCCCCCACCAAAAAAAAAAAAAAAAACTTAACAACAACATAATAAATTAGAGATTAGCCTAGTTTAATTAATGAACTAATTATCTTAATTACTAAAAGTGTGCATATGATGCATGAGCTCCTATGCTTCCTTCCATATGCACCCTTGCAATCATCTTACTGAAATTTCCTACATCAAGAAATTACATGGAAGCAGGAAAAAAAAGAATCACTTCCCTCATTCTATTGCAGCTATGCATATTTCATGTTTTGTGAGTTCTAAAACAATTGCTTAATTTAAGCTAAACATGGAGATAAACACTCATAACAATGGAAAAAAAGATTCATGTAGCCAACGCCACGTAGTGGTATAAAGGCTTAATGTTGTTGTAGTATGGACATAAGCACCCATAACAATGTACAATAAGAATGACTTATGATCCTTTTGCTGCAAGGAATAAGAATATAAAATATAAATGCAAAATAAGAGAATCATACACCAGATCTCTAGGTAGAGGGAATATATCACAACAATACGAGATGAAACAACAAGAATCAAGCACAATAAAATACAGAATGAACTTTACCAGCAGAAGTGTAATTCACTCATCACATCGAGTTTGAAGAGTTCTTCCATAGTTCCACTTCCATAATTCAGCATGTATTGATTCCATCCTTGCAATCCCTGGTTAGGTTATTGAATGTTTCAACTCGCAACTTCGCCCTGTACAGAACCTCTGTGTCAACTGCCACCCTCATATAACCATCAAATTGGACAGGTCGCCCACCATTGAGAATCATTGTCTCATTATACCACTCACTCTTATTACTCCACATCTCATTATAGTCCTCAAGCAAATGTACATTATAGTAAGACCTCAGCTTATCAAAGTAATTGTAAAAAGGCTCATTTGTGGCAATGTAAAGATTTCTCCAAGACCTCACCAGCTTGGTAACCTTCTCCACTAGAGATTCCGGGGAAGTGTCGCCGTCCAAATTAGGCCAAAGCTCCTTGTTTCTAGCCTTCTCTCCTCTTACAACATGAAGAGCATCATAATCCCAATCCATCTTTCCGGCGATCTCCGAGACAATGTTCATCAGGCGCTTAGACTTCCAAATGGCATGCCAGGGACGCTGGATGTACTTTGACGCCCGGCCTTCACAGACCCTGTACCAGTAATTCTCAGGCTCAGGTCCTTCAAATTGTCTCCAAACTATGGTGCTCTTATCCTTCTTGAGTTGCATTGGGGTAAGCTTGTAGGTAGGCACTTTTCTAACACTAATCCGGCCATTGCTCTTCTGGCCTTTACCAGAGGAGCGATCCCATTTCCTCCAGTCCCGAAGGAAATCGCCCTCCTCAACAACCGAAGCTGATTCCTTTAGATGCTCGAAATCAAAGTAAAACCTGAAATCCTTACCATCTTCATTCTCTCCTGTAGAAGTATAGCTCCCGGCAAGGCATACGCTGAGGTCCATGACGAAAGTCCGGTTGAGGAATTTGGCTTCTCCGAGGCCGCAGAGGAAGCTCCATAAGTAATGATTCATACTCTTGCAGTAATCACCGCCACGGGTGTAGTATAGATACCGTCCCTTGCGGAACTCTGATTCAGATCCAACTGTGGGGATCGTGTCGTTGATGTCCAGATCCGGGATCTGGACGGCCGGTGGGGAGGTGGCGCGACGGGGACGGCGGGCGGCGTTGGTACCGGAGCGGAACTTACCGGCGCGAACGACCTCGAAAGTGCAATTCTCAGCAGGTGCAAGGCGGAAGCGGCGGTAGTCGCGGTAGCGTCGCCAGGACTTCTCCAAACGGTTGCGGAAGCGCCAGGCGGCGTCGCATTCGTCGGGATTGGATCCATTGACGGGGGTGTCGTACGAAATGAAGATAATGGATTTGCGGAAGATCTTGGAGTTGAAGCGCTGGATCGCGGCCAGGACGGCGGGGTTGGAACAGTTGAGCGGGGCGTTTGGATCACAGGCCGAGGAGGTGGGGAAGGAGTTGTTGTAAATGAGAGCTGCACCGGCGTTGGCGGCAGAAGGGGGGGAGGCGACGAGATCTTCACCGGTGGGCAGAAGAGAATCGTCGGTTGCGAAGGTGGAGTTTGGAAGAGTGGCGGAGAGGGATTTGGTAATGGCCTTGGAGGTTTGGAACCATGGGTCGGGGGGTTGGTAGGTGGCGGCAATGACAGAGAAGACGAGGACGGAGACGACAAAGATGGAGAAACATAGGTTGCCGATGACCTTGACAACCTGTTGTCCCGTCGCCGGGAGCTCTGGCGAGGTGCCTCGGGTGCCGACCTCAGTCATCTCTGATGGTGAAAGTAATGTTGATCTATAAATTCTCGAGGAGTTAGGGTTAGGGTTCCGCGAAGAAATGGAAGGGAGGCGATAGGTCAGTGGCGGTAAGTGAAGCCGGGGTTGGGTTGGAGGCGTCGAAGCGGTGAGAACCGTCTGCACAGATACAGGGTACCAAGCGGTATCTAGTTTACCGAGTGGTACTGATCATAATTTTATACTAGTGTGCGGACGGTTCTACCGTCCGCACTCCATACCTAATAATTTCTCGTCGAAGTGACGATAGCGATGGCTGTGCAGGAACAGTGGATGTGGGCACCGACAGGTGAGTGCGGTAGGCGTGGAGTTGTGGATCACCTGGTCGTTACAGGACTTGGACTGTAGAGGGTTGAGAAAAATAACCAGACAAGTAAATATAGAAATATCATGATTTTAAATAAAATAATATATATATTATTTTATTTAAAATCATGATATTTCTATATTTACTTGTCTTGTTATTTTTCTCAACCCTCACTCGGTCACTCCTACACTCCAAGTCCTGTAACGACCCGGTGATCCACAACTCCACGCCAAAAAAAAAAAACTACTTTAAGAAGTAACAAAAAAGCCGTCATTTGGGATGACTTTTTTGTCGAATCTTAAAACAGCTTTTTAATACCAAAATTAAAATATTTGTACTAGAAAGCCGCGGTAAAAAGCAATAAAAAACCGTCCCTAAATCTAAACGTCCACACATATTAACAATTTTCCAATTTTTTTACATGATTGTTCCTTACATCAGTCATTATTACTACACTCAAATAGAAGTATCATTAAATAGCATGCATCAAGAGCACACTTAATAGAATGAAAATATTAATTATAGGGCATAATCATCCTAAATATCGATTTATATTAACTTATTAATACATTTAAAATTGTTACATAGTACAAAAATTTTAATGGAATCATCTTGAGGCTAAATCAACAAGCAAGCAAATAAATTGCATCCACCCGTTGCTAGCTGTTATCCCAATCTCCTATTTTCTTGCAAGAGTTATACATAATTACCTTCTTTTTATGACAATTATCACTCTCTAGATTGATCTCTGTTAATTCTCCAATATATTCATATTATATGACATGATTAATTAGCAAAAGAATCTCATAAACAACTCAAGATAAGGTAGAAAGCTTGCTAATTACTCGCATGAGAGGAGTAAATATCGAACTCCCTTGAGAATAATTAGTCAATCAATCCCCCCTTCTCTCTCTCTCTCTCTCTCTCTCTCTCTCTCTCTCTCTCTCTCTCCATCTATTTATATGGATAGAAATACAGATAGCTTGGAGCAATCCATTAGGAGGCAAATTAAAAGAGATTTGAAAAATAAAGTCTTGTGAAGATCGAGGTGGAAGCAAGCAGAGAAAGGAAGGGAGGAGATGAGGTACTTATGAGGAAGCTTCATATAGTTTACTTCCTAAGCAGGAAAGGGAAGATCGAGCAGCCTCACCTCATCACAGTTCACCACCTCAACAACAATGGTGTTCATCTTCAAGGTGCACAAGCTCATCATCTTCATCATGATCATCAGCATCATCTCTCTCTCTCTCTCTCTCTCTCTCTCTCTCTCTCTCTCTCTCTCTCTCAACACTCTCTTAATTGATTATTTTGTTCAATAAATTTCTTACTTTGTTTATATAAAATTGATAACATGATTAGATTTTAAGAGATGGCTATCTGAGCTCAGGGGGAAAGAAATGCCAGAATCCTTTGCTTGGTCATACAAGAGGTTTGCTCATTCATTGCTTAACATCTTAATGCGAGTTTCTTCTACTTTATGAGTTAACTTACACTTCGTTTGGGACGGCTTTCTTCCTGCTTCTGAAACCAACTTTCTAGTACAAAAGTTAAAATTATTGTACTTAAAAGTTGTTTTAAGAAGCAGTTAAAAAGTTGTTCCAAATGAAACTGTAGTTCAATGTCATCCACTGCTATGTAACATTGTATTATGAAATAGATAACAAATTATTGAATTAATGACATCTTAAGATAAGACTTTCGTCAATGATATTAAAAGATAGGTAATTTAGTTCATTGATAATTTACAGTTAATACTATATTATTAACATATATAAGCTTACTTACCAGAGATTTAATACTATATTAAAATGGAAATTTTGATTATTATATATATATGATTTATAAAGGCATGCCTATTTCATAGATAATATCGTTATTACAGGAAGTACAAAACCGGCTATATCTGGCAGGACCTCACCGATGATGACCTCATCATCCCCACCTCCTACTGCGAGTATGTATTAAAGGGAGCTCTTCTCTCTCCCATCAAAATCTTTGAGAAATTTAAGGAAGAAGCAAAGTCCTTGGATTCTCCTGCGACTTCAAGTATGCCAGGTGAAGCATTTCAAAGAGAAAAAACTACTTCTTCAAAGCCTCCTACAGAATTAGAGGAACAGTCGCCAGAAGAAACATCGAATTCAAGCTCGGAAGAAGCCCAAAGGGAAACTGCAGTTTTCAAGATAAATTCTTGGAAGGAGGAGATGAAGAGAGTAGAGAAAGTCTATTGTAAAGAAATTGTTCATTTGGAGAATGGGAGGCAGGTTGCTGAAGTTAAAAGTAAGGAACATGGTGATAATAAAGCTCGCAGCTGGGCGCCATTAGTTTTGAGAGATTTTCTTAGCTGCAGAACGGTGGGGACAAAGAACTCTATTATGAGAGCTGCGAGCAATCAGAATAAGAGTGGCAGTAGAAGGAATAACAGCTGCAGCACCTAGATAATTT